CAGTCTCCAAACCAATCTGATCCAGGCATGGTAGACAGTGCCGCAGAGGCTAGGTGTCTCTCCATTGCTTCCAGTCACTATAGGCACCTCCCCACTCCCCTACTGCACTCCAGCACTCTCTGGTCAACACTCCAGTAAAATCTTAGCTCTTTATTCAGTATATTGATCCTTTCTGGTGTGTGTGGTGGGGGGTAGTATGGTGCCAGGTATCTCTAGTGAGCACCTTGCTGACATCACCTCATTGTGGTTTTAATATGCATTTCTCTAGTAGCTATTCCTTTACTTGTTTAATTTTAGCAACATTTGAAAGTTGTTCTTGATTTTTCTTATCCTGCTCAGTTATACTGTGGGTGTACCTCCTAAGTATGTCTTTAATTATCTCTGTCTTTGTCCTAATTCCTGTGCTTTATTTCTTCACTATTATTAAAATAGCCCCCAAACTGCTTTCTCTGATACCATTTCCTCAGCAGATTCCAATTTGTTTTCCACACTGCCATCAGAACGAATTTTCTAAAATGTTGGTGTAATCATGTCACTCCTTTGTTTAAAAGCCTTCAAAGCTTCCCATTGCCTTTAAGATGAAGTCTGCAATCTGGATCCAGCGTGTTTTATACTATCTATCTATTCTTGCCATTCATTTCCCCACCATCCTACAAACATACACACTCCACACACACACACACACACACACACACACACACACACACACTCTGCACATTTCCTGGCTTGTGATCTACCTGCAGTTATTTGAATACATTAGATCTTTACGCCTTTGGACGTGCTGTTACCTCTTGTCTGAAATGTTCACTCATCTCCCTTTACAAACTCTTATTCATGCTACCTCTTGGAATCTTTTTCTGATTCTCCATAACAGTTAACCATCGTGTGTGTGTGTGTGTGTAAATATAGTGACATACATATGTGTCTGAGGGTATTGGGTTTAATCATGTGAAACTGTCATTTTTATAAGTCAAAATATGCTTTATATTAATTAACCTAAAACATTTTTGTACTTGTTTATGTGTCTGGCATTCCTCATCCAGCAAAAGACTGTCATTTTTTTTTTAAAGGCTAGTAGGCCACTTAGTACACATTTATTGATAGGTGGATGAAAAGATAATTTTTAAAGATCAAGGCTGTCATTTAGAGCAGGGGTCCCCAACACCCAGGCCGCAGACCAGTACCAGACCGTGGTCTGTTAGGAACCGGGCCACACAGCAGGAGGCGAGCACTGAGCAACCCACATTATGGCCTGTGCTCCACCTCCTGTCAGATCAGCAGTGGTGTTAGATTCTCATGAAGTGTGGACCCTATTGTGAACTGCACATGTGAGGAATCTAGATTACGTGCTCTTTATAGGCATCTAATACCTGATGACCTAAGGTTGGTTAAAAGTGCCGCTCCCTGGTGCCGAAAAGGTTGGGACCACTGATTTAGAGTGAAAAGTTAGCTTGAAAATCTATAGATTTTCTACCTTTCTGGCCCTAAAGGTTGCTTATTTGCATGGTGCAAAGTATAATACAAAATCATCACAATATGTCTCTCTCTCTCTCTCTTTTTTTTTTTTTTTTTTTTTTTGAGACAGAGTCTCGCTTTGTCGCCCAGGCTGTAGTGCAGTGGCGTGATCTCGGCTCACTACAACCTCTGCTTTCGGGTTCAAGCGATTCTCCTGCCTCAGCCTCCCGAGTAACTGGGACTACAGGCATGTGCCACCACACTCAGCTAATTTTTGAATTTTTAGTGGAGACGGGGTTTCACCATGTTGGCCAGGCTGGTCTCGAACTCCTGACCTCATGATCTGCCCACCTCGGCCCCCCAAAGTGCTGGGATTGCAGGCATAAGCCACTGCGCCCAGCCCACAATATGTCTCTTAATAAATACATCTCAAATGTCATGGACGAAGTCACAGATTATCTCCCACATATAATTCAGTAGTCGTTCTTGTATTAGTAGATAGCACCATAGCTTCAAGGTTCAAATAAAATGATAAAAGATACTGATTTTCTCATAAAAACATGATTTTAAAATTCAAACACCATAAACTAAAAATGGGGTGTGTGTGTGTGTGTGTGTGTGTGTGTACAGGCACACCTCTGAGATATTGTGGGTTTTGGTTTCAGACTGCTGCAATAAAGCAAATATCACAATGAAGTGAGTCACACAAATTTTTTGGTGTGTTTGGTGCATAAAAGGTATGTTTATATTATACTATAGTAGGTATGCAATAGCATTATGTCTAAAAAAAAAAGATGTATATACCTTAATTTAAAAATATTGTTAAATGCTGACAAACTTCTGAGCCCTCAGTGAGTTGTAATTTTTTTTTAGGGAGGGTCTTGCCTCAATAGTGGACCTAAAATATTTAGTAAACCATGCTGTAAACAGATGTGCTGTTATCCAGTCTTTGTTGTTTTGTTTATACAGCACAGGCAGAGCAGATTTAGCGTTAATTCTTTTTTTTTTTTTTTTTTTTTTTTTTTTGAGACAGAGTCTTGCTCTGTGGCCCAGGCTGGAGCGCAGTGGCACAATCTCGGCTCACTGCAACCTCTGCCTCCTGTGTTCAAGTGATTCTCCTGGCCTCAGCCTCCAGAGCAGCTGGGACTACAGGTGTACACCACCACACCCAGCTACTTTTTGTATTTTTAGTAGAGACGGGGTTTCACCATGTTGGCCAGGATGATCTCGATCTCTTGACCTCGTGATCCACCCGCCTCAGCCTTCCAAAGTGCTGGGATTACAGGTGTGCACTACCACACCCCACCTAGATTTAGCATAATCCTTAAAGCCCTAGGATTTTCAGAATGGTGACTAAGCATTGGCTTCAGCTTAAAGTCACAGCTATATTAGCCCATGAAAAGAAGTCTACCTGTCCTTTGAAGTTTAGAAGCCAGACATTGACTTCTCTTTATCTGTAAAAGTCCAAGATGGTATCTTCTTCTACTAGAAGGCTGTTTTGTCTACAGTGAAAATCTGTTGTTTAGTGTAACCATTTTCATCAATTCATCAATGATCTTAGACAGATTTTTCTGGATAACTTGCTGCAGCTTCTACATTAGCACCTATTGCTATACCTTGCACTTTTCTATTATGGAGATGGCTTCTTTCCTTAAACCTTGTAAACCAACCTCTGCTAGCTTCAAACTTTTCTTCTGCATCTTCTTTACCTCTCTTGACCTTCATAGGATTTACAAGAGTTAGGAACTTGCTCTGGATTAGGCTTTGGCTTACAGAAAGCTTGTCCAACCCTGGCCCATGGGCCACATGCAGCCCAGGATGACTTTAAATGCCATACAACACAAATTCATAAATTTCTTAAAATGTTATGAGATGTTTTTGGGATTTTTTTTTCTCATCAGCTATTGTTAGTGTTAGTGTATCTTATGTGTGGCCCAAGATTATTCTTCCAGTATGGCCCAGGAAAGTCAAAAGATTGGATATCCCTGGCTTAGAGGAAGTGGTGGCTGGTTTGACCTCTGTCCAGACCACTAAAACTTTCTCTGTAACAGCAATCCGGAGTTGAGTTTTGTCATTTGTGTGTTCACTGGAATAGTACTTTTAATTTCCTTTAATAGTGCAAGAAACCTATCTTAACATGCCTTCCTCACTAAGCTTAATCATTTCTAGCTTTTGATATAAAATAAGAAACACGCAATTATTCTTTTACTTGAACACTTAGGGGCCATTGTAGGGTTATCAATTGGGCTAATTTCAATATCCTTGTGTCTCAGGAAATAGAGAGACCAGGGGAGATGGGGAACGGCTGGTCAATGGGGCATTTGAAATATGCAGATTTATTGATTAAGTTCTCTATCTCATGTGGTCATGGTTCATGGTGCCCTAAAACAATTACAATAGTAACATAAAGATCGCTGATCACAGATCACCATAACAACTATAACAATAATGAAAAAGTTGGAAATATTACAAGGATTTCTAAAACGTGACACAGAGACATGAAGTGAGCACAGGCTGTTGGAAAATGGCACCAACAGACACAGGGTTATCACAAGCCTTTAATTTGTAAAAAGCCTATCTGCAAGGTGCAATAAAATGCATACAATGAGATATATGTCTGTATAATGGTTATAGCTATGTAAAAATTGCCTTTGAATGTGGGAGGTAAAATGTAATAACAGATTGTTTTTAGAGAATTTGATTATGAGTTTATTTTAATATGTTCTTAAAACAACAAAACAAATATATTAGTTTGGGTTTTACATCAATCAAGTAGCAAGATCTGAATTGTCATTTTAGTAAAGATAACCGTCTAAATGCTTGGCATACTTTAGGTAACAACTATATGATGAAGAACTCTACTTCATTTAAACAAAATTACAGTTTTAGTCAATATTTTTAAATTGTTGATGATTTTTAAAAGTTACCTTTCCTTAGTGTATATTTAACAACTTTGCCATAGGATTCAGGCATTACATTGCTATGAGTATTAGTCAAGTTTCATTGTTTTATTCATTTCAAATTGAACTTGGTGTTATAAGTGCTATTATAGCTATTACCTCCTTTTAGCTGTATAACTTCTTCAGGACATTATTTATATGAATTTTATCTGGCTTGTAAAGAAACACAAACCTCATAAAACACAAATTTTAAAAGATTTTTAAAAATTTGGCCATTTTCAAAAAATTGAAAAAGTGGAAGTTATTGAAAATATTTTTCAAAAATAAAGACTATAAAAATATTTTTTAAAAATTGTGAAACACTTATCCATTAGCTCCACGTTAAAATTTCCTTTCTCCCAAACTTACACAATGTCCTGAATTATTCAGACAAGCAAAGATAAGTAAGGAGTCTAAAGAATGTGGTTTGCTTTTTACCTTTAAAACTTGGACAGTGATTTGGAAGTGCAGCTTAGTACAACTCCTTTTCTAAATAAAATTCTGCTCCATCTGCAACTCTGAACACGTAGACTGAAGGGGTGTTTCCCTTGGCCAGTGCCTGACCTCTGTGCACACCTTGGTCTGGCGTGACCTCGCCCACACTGCACACTGCAGCCATATAAATCAGATTTTTGACATGTTATAAAACGTAAGTCATAGCTCCCATTATCTGCAGTACTCAAAAACTTTTGAAACACTGCATGTCCAACAAAATTTATTTTTTGTGTGAATGTAAGTTTTTATTGAGGGTAAGTCCTATTTGTTTGGAAAAAAGGAAAAGTATGAGCCAGTGATTTTTAAAAATCAGATAGATTTAATGTTCTCTGTCCTGCCTGTTCTCGCTCGTGTGTGCTCTCTCTTGATCACTTGCTCGCTCGCTCTCTCTGCCTCTCTGCTTGTCTAAGAGCCGCTGGCTTTGAGAGAGACCTTGATATTACAACTGTGTTAGCAGATTGAGATTTCTGTTAGAGTCTTTCTGTTTAGGTCAGGAGTAAGTGTTCTTCATTGAACAGAATTGAGAGCTTATGATCATACTGTAAGTATAAATGCTTCACCTCTTCAAATACATATTTTAATTCCTTTGTTTCTGTTATAACAGGAAACTTCACATATAATTATGTCTTATTAGCTACATTGCTTTGCCAGATGCCAGATATTTTGTGTGTGTGTATGTGTGTGTGTGTGTGTGTGTGTATGTGTGTGTGTGTTTAACATTTTCTTTTCTTTTTTTTTTTTTTTTATTTATTTTAAGTTCTGGGATACATGTGCAGGACATGCAGGTTTGTTACATAGGTAAATGCATACATGGTAATTGCTGCCCCTATCAGCCCTGGACATTTCTTAAAAGAAAGATTTGCACAGATTGGTAAACGTAATGTGCAATCTATGGTAAACTTAAAAGTGGTTTTGTAAAAGTTTTAAAGGTTCTATAGAAGTGCAAAAACTTGAAATGAAATTAAAGATTTTTCTATAGTACATTTTGGCCATTTTCAATAAATTGAAAAAGTGGAAGTTATTGATTCTACTTAAGAGTCAGATAGTAAATAAGCTTTGTGACAAAGCAAAAAGTAAATTCAGTTCATTCAGTTTTATTTACTGTCTCATATCTTTCACGTAAAATTCCGTATGGTACTCTACTATGTTAATAATATTTACTAAAAATAAGCCTTATTAGACTTTTCTGCAGACAGATATTTAAGATTAAATTATATTATTTAGGCAATGATTTATATTAAGTACACTTATATTATTTAATATAGATCTTTTAGTTTTACCTGTTTATATTTTTTGATATGTAATAGGTATCTAAAAATGATGTAACTGAAATTTGTCCCTACTATATATATTATTTTCAACATTTAAAAATATTGCTATTAGAATATTTGACATTTTATAATGCCCTTAAAAGAAGACAATTTTCCCTAAATTTTTTAGGTGCTGTTTTTTAACCCTAATCTCTTGACCAAGAATGAAACCATTTAAAAATTAAGATGCCAACAGGTAATTTCTTATACATTTATGTTTTTTTCAGTATGTGTCAACAGTAATAGAACAACAACCAAAAATGTGTATTAACGCAAGGCTGTGTTATTCTCTTCCAACATCATTGGAAGAGATGTGAATATGAAATGTTTCAAATATGAAATATTTGGTTTTTAGAGACCTTCCTTTATGACATAAAACTATTTTATTTAGATTTATATATTTTATTGGTTTTACAACCTGATAAATTCTAGCTTATTCTATACCTGAAATCAACTCAAATAATAAGGAAATAGAAGTCAGAATTAAAGTAGATTCAGAAACAGTAATTCAGGTTAGTTTTCTTTGCTGATAAAATAAGCACCAGGTGTTGAGATATGTCTGATTATAATCTGATTAAAACAAGGACATTAATTTTAGCCGTGATACAGTTACATTCCACGCTCAGTGGAAAACCAGATATGATGACTCCCAGGATGCCGATGTAATCTAATGTAATGTAATGTAAATATTATTTTTTAACCAAGTTATTCTAGAAAATTTTTATAACCTTGTTGAAAGTTGTTTCATTAGAAAGAAGCATGGCATTGTGTAAAAAAGAAAAAAAATCTAAAAATTCATTTTGGTTGATTTTATTTTCTATTTTACCAGTTCTGTGTAGTTCTGATTTCCTCTTTCCATTTTTATACTCTTATAGTTATAATGTGATGCTGAAACAGGATTTTCTCAATTCCAAAGCAGAACAAAAGTTTTAAAATTTGAAATTCTGATTGTGGAGATAGCTGACTCATAGCAATTATGTCTTAGCAAGTGTTGATATTTTAGTGGCACATAAATGCTAGATAATTTTTAAAATTAATATACTAGTTTTAAGGTCAAATTGGATCCCCAATGGGAGTAATGCCATTTTCTTCTTCCCATTAGATGATTCTGGGTCATTTCCTAGACAGAAACAATCAGGAACTAACAATGTACATTGTAAAGCAATATAATTTCCCTTTTAAAGCTGAAAGACAAAATATTCAGCAAGTTTCTCTTCTAATCATAAATTACTAGTATAATGACTCAATGAATCCTTCTGTTATTCTGTCTAATTTTTTCTATATAATGTAGCCAGGGATTTTTCAATAAAAGGTTTAGGGGTGTGAGGCTGCGAGGAAGGAGAATTACCAAAGGAGAAAGAGAAGGCAGAGAGAGAAAGATAAAGAAAGGGTCAAAGATAAAGAAGTTGGGGCTGAAGACAGAGGAAGGAGAGAAAATAAGCAAGAGAAAAGTAGAGGTTTCTTTTCTTAATATTCTGAAAGATTCGGCTGTATATCAAGCTATGGCTTAGGTTTTTAGTTTTTCTTTGTACCTTTAGGTATGTCTTTATATTTAGTAGCTGTTACCTAAAATCTTATAAGATTATTTTTGGTTTCTGACATTTAGATTGTCATATAGGAACATTTAAAGTTAATCTTGGAAATAAAAAGTTAATTATCTAAATCCTTTACCAGCCACAGTTTCAGATATTAATGTATTTGAGACCTAATAGGAAAAACAAGAATCTAAATTCTTGACAGGGGAACTCTAGGTAATGCTACCATATCCCTGTAGTAAGTGAGAAAGGCCCTGTTTGTTCTAAGACTCTAATCACTTCCTTTTAGTCTAACTAATAAAGATATTCCTTATTTCTATTATATAGTGTCTAAATCCATTAGAGTTAATGGCCATATTTTTAGGACATATTTTTTTTCTCAAAGACTTAGAAGTCCCAGAAGTCTGTCAAATGAGGAATGGGATTAAGTCTTTCATTATGAGAATCTTCGTTCTGATTTTCAGAATTGCTACTTCAGTTTAAGATAGCGATTTCTATTCCTGGTTGCATTAGGAAAACTTTAATTTGCTTTTCTCTGTTTTATATATATATGCGCTTTAGATCACGAAGAGCCCTGTGGTCCCAGTCACAAGTCATTTTGCCTGAATGGAGGGATTTGCTATGTGATACCTACTATTCCCAGCCCATTTTGTAGGTGAGTGAAATGGACTCGGGGGAGATGTTAACTCTATTTTTTAGTATCTACTGACTTCTTTGAGAAGTGGTAAAGAGTAAACAAAAAATGTAAGATGAAAAGGTGTGAGACATATTCTTCATATTTACGTAGAGTAAAATTATCCTTTTAAAACAAAACAAAATAGCACATAAAAATCTCACTAGTCAAGGTGTTTGTTTTGAAAATCGGTAATGGTAGTTTCTGGCCTAGATATATATATTTTTTAAATAATTTCTTTTACTGAACTCTCTGATTTTAGCAATTTAAGGAAGGCAGCCTATGCTTAACATTGGCAAAATGGCTAGGGAATTCACTAATCCAAAAAACCCAATATGAGGTACTTTATTTTGAGTTTATAAAACATAAACACATGATAACTGAGTTGGTACCAAAACTTACACTTTATATATTAAAAGCAAAAGAAGAGTTAAGTTTCTCTAACGGTGCTAGCAAATAAAAACGAAGGGTGTCTTAGCCACTATTGTTTTAAAATAATATAACTCACTGCGGGTGTATAGCGACCAACAAAAAACTTCAAAATAGTACTTCTGTAGCCAGCTGCCTATGAGTTTGGTTGAACAGGATTTAAGTGTATATAATAAACCCCTTTCAGTGTATGAGTTAACATCATGGTACTGCCGTATACTGTGACACTAACACCTAAAGATCTCAAGGTGTTTTGTAATGCATGTGAATTACTCTTTTTTGTTCTTTAACTGAAATGAGAAGTATAGACTCTGGATCTATAGTATAGTACAGAATCTAGAATCAAGATCTGGCTACGTAAAAAGCATGGGAAAGGAAAATTCATAGGAAAAGTTAAAGTTATTGGGTTGTAGTATGGAGGAGAGGAGGCAGAGAGAAATAACCTCGTAATTATCTCAGGAACTTTTTAGGGCTTTTCGTCTGGGGAATGGTGCCCCCAGGTATTTTTCTTCTGTAGTGAATATGAAAAGAGAAGGGGATGGAGGAACAAATTAACCATTACTTAACACTCATGATGTGCCTCAGTAGAATCCTTTTTTGGTTTTTGATCTATTTACTGGAATGTAATTTATGTATAATAAACTGCATTCATTTAAAGTACACATAGATTAATTCTGACAAATGTTTGTAGCTGTGAAATCACCACCACCATCACATCTAGATATAGAACATTTCCACAGATAGTCCCCTCAAATTTTGTTGCTGACTCCACTCAACACTTGATTCTCGCAAACACCTTAGAGAAAGGAGGCAGGGAAGACCTTAGAAAATAGTTAAAAAAGAAAGAAAAGGAAAGAAAAGAAAAGAAAAAAAAAGCGGATAATGAGAAATGAGGTGACATGCCAAAAGTCACATTGCTGGGAAGAAGAAAGAAGTGGCCTTTGAATAAAACTCCCAAGTTTCACTTAACTTTATAACATATTCATTCTGAATTCTTTCTAAGGTGATATGGCATATAGCATATATAAAATAAAACAAAAATGCTTATCAAAAGAAGTACATTTAATAATTTAAAAATACTAAAATTTTTTGTCCTGATCTTGATGATGGCTACATGGGTATAAAGACTATCCTTTCTCCACGGAATTGCCTTTGCTGCTTTGTCAAAAGTCAGTTGATCGTATGTGTACAGGTCTATTTCTGGACTATTCTTTTCCGTTGATCTATGTTTCCTATCTTTTCACCAATACCAGTCTTGAAAAACGTAGCTTTATAATGAGCAATATCAGGCAGCAGGATTCGTCAACTTTGTTCTTTGGCTCAATGATCTTTAGCCTCATTTTCTAATAGGCAGTATTTAATGTTAAAAGTTTTCAAGTACATTTCTGTTTTGTTCTGCATTGCATAGTTTGTTGTTCAGTGTTTGGTTTAAACACTTTTTCACTATGATTCCTTCTGTAATCTACAGGATGTTTTCCTAACCTTTTGTGTTTATATCTGATTTAATGGCATTGTGGGCAGAGTACTTGGTCCATCAAGCTGTGCACTTAATATCTATCTGTATACTAAGCATCTATTATATCTCATTGAATAAGTTGAAAGAAAGAACGAAGAATGCCGGAATTTGGAGACTCATTAAAATGGAAAGAAACCTGGGTTGTCATCCCGCCTTTGTACCTTGGATAGATGCGTTTTTGTTTTGTTTTGTTTTGTTTTGTTTGTTTTTAATTTTTTTTTTATTGCATTTTAGGTTTGGATAGATGCGTTTTTACGGTCTTTTCAAAAGTTACCAATGATAGCGAATGCCCAGCCCTGGTGTAAAAACGTATATAGTTTCTTCCTAATGTCAGAACCTAAGAGTAGTAATTAGGGAGTAGTTGAAACCATGCCCTCCGGGTTCGTGATGGATAGAGAATGAAGCAAGGTCACCACATTGCACAACAGCAGGAGGTTCTGTGGCTTGGCACCCTCTTTGGAACGTGAATGTTGTATTCTGGAGTTGCTAAACACCCTGGAAGGAAGTGAAGTAGGGGAGCAGGGTAGGGAGCAAAAGGGCGACTGAGAGAAAAGGAAAAAAATATAGTGATTGAGGGTTCACTGACATTGAATGGCAGATATATTTTAAATCGTATTTTATAAAAATAATTGCTTTCCGGCAGGGCGTCTTGGCTCACGCCTGTAATCCCGACACTGTGGGAGGCCGAGGCGGGTGGATCACGAGGTCAAGAGATTGAGACCATCCTGGCCAACATGATGAAACCCCGTCTCTACTAAAAATACAAAAATTAGCCGGGCGTGGTGGCGTGCACCTGTATTCCCAGCTGCTTGGAAGGCAGAGGCAGGAGAATCGCTTGAACCCGGGAGGCAGAGGTTGCAGTGAGCCCAGATTGCGCCGCTACACTCCAGCACTCTAGCCCGGCAACAGAGCAAGAGTTCGTCTGCAAAACAAACAAACAAACAAAATTGCTTTCCACTTATCATAGGACCACATTTCTAATGTAGTCATATAGGCTATAAGAGCAATAGCTAAGAGTGATAAACTCGTTTTCCTATCCACTTCATACTGTTTTCTGCATTTCCTGTTTCTATTACAGTACTGACATCGCAACCATCTTGTCACTGAGAAATCCAGACTGATCTTTGACTCTGTCATTGCCCTCTTATCCAGCTGTCAAATCCTATTTCTATCTTTGCTGTATCTTTCATCACTCCAGTCCTTTCTGTTCGTACTATCATTACACTAGCCCAGAGTTTCTTAACTCCTTGTTTGGTCTTTAGAAATAGTCCCTCACCGATTTTCCTGGAGCCTAATTCTCATCATTTCCGCAGTTAAAACAAAACAAAAAAACCTTCAGTGACAGTCCTCACACCTATCCATCTACCACTCGTGAAATAATCTCTCTCTTTTTAACCTAGCTCTTTCAGCCTTCTACCATTTGGCCCTCAAACTACCTTTGGTGCCTTTTCTTCTTGGTCTGTGTTCTAACTAGAACCATTCCCTGTTTATGTTAGATACACTTTATGTTATGCTGCCTGCCAGCCCCACCTCTGTCTCCCCCTCCTCAGTCTACACGGAAATAAAAAGGACAAGGACGAAGACCTTTATGATGATCTACTTCCACTTAATGAATAGTAAGAGGCATATTTTCTCTTCCTTACAATTTTCTTTTCTCTTTCTTTCCTGTTTTGTTTTTTTCTTAAGACAAGGTCTCGCGGGCTGGAGTGCAGTGGCGCAATGTCGGCTCACTGCAAACTCCGCCTCCCGGGTTCAAGCGATTCTTCTGCCTCAGCCTTCTGACTAGCTGGGATTACAGGTTTGTGCCACCATGCCCATCTAAATTTTGTGTTTTTAGTAGAGGTGAGGTTTCACCATGTTGTCCAGGCTGGTCTTGAACTCCTGACTTTAGGTGATCTGCCCACCTCAGCCTCCCAAAGTGCTGGGATTATAGGCGTGAGCCACTCTGCCCAGCAATGCCCCCTCCCCCTCTCCTTTTTTTTAAGAGACAGGGTCTTGCTCTGTTGCCCAGGTTGGAGTGCAGTGGCTTGATCATAGTTCACTGCAACCTCAAACTCCTGGGCTCAAGTAATCCTCCTGCCTCCTCAGCCTCCCAAGAAGCTGGGACTACAGGCACATACCACTGCACTTGGCAATTTATTTTTTGTAGAAGATGGGGTTTTGCTATGTTGACTAGGTTGGTCTCAAACTCCTGGCCCTTAAGTGATCCTCCCACCTCAGCTTCTCAAGGTGCTGGGATTACAGGCATGAGCCACTTTATCCAGCCCCCTTATGAGTTTCTTAATAACATTACCTTTTCTCTAAGTTATTTTATTATAAGAATACAGTATGTAATACATATATAAAATATGTGTTAATCGACCGTTTATGTTATTGCTAAGGCTTCCAGTCAACAGAAGGTTATTAGTAGTTACGTTTCGAGGGAGTCAAAAGTTATATGTGGATTTTTGACTACATGGAGGTTGGTGCCCCTAACCCCTGCAATGTTCAAGGGTCAACTGTATTTGTGCCTTTAGATCTAAAATGTCTCTAGTCAGCATATAGTTGTGCATTATGTGTTTTTTGTTCTTTTGCTAATCGCTGTCTTTTATTAGATAATTTAATCTATTTATGTTTAAAGTAATTATTGCTGAGAAAGGACTTAGGTAATTTTGCTACTTATTTTCTACATGTCATCACTTTTTTGTTTCTCATTTTTTGTATCACTGTGTTTTGTGTTTAATTGATTTTTTTGTAGTAAAATTTTTGTTTGTTTGTTTGAGATTGAGTTTCACTCTTATTCCCTAGGCTGGAGTGCAATGGCGATCTTGGCTCACTGCAACCTCCTGGGTTCAAGCAATTCTCCTTCCTCAGCCTCCCAAGTAGCTGGGATTACAAACAGACGTGCACCACCACCATGCCTGGCTAATTTTGTATTTTTAGTACAGATGAGGTTTCTCCATGTTGGTCAGGCTGGTCTCAAACTCCCAATCTCAGGTGATTCGCCTGCCTCGGCTTCCCAAAATTCTGGGATTACAGGCATGAGCCACCATACCCA